AGGGAAGGAGCAGCTCCTCCTCCCCCAAACAGCTCCCATAAAACAGTGGGAACGCCAGACTCATTAAGGAAAATGAGCGGCTTTTGTTCCCGGTCCCGGCACAGGTTCCCCATTTTATGCGCTGGAAGGTCCTAATGGCTTAATGGCACTTCCCCAGGAAGCAATTCTGCCCCGGAGCAGGGCTGGGAACCCGCTGGGATGGGATGGGAGCAGGGCTGGGATGCAGCTGGAACGGCCCCAGGACGCCCCCTCCTGCCCAGGAGCTCCCGAGCCCGGAGAATCCGGGCTTCTCTCAGGGGTGGGAGAGCTGAAAGCTCCTCTCCTGCCATGGGCAGCAACACTTCCCACCTGCCCTGGCAGCTCCAAGTCCTGACCAATTCCAGGGATGGGGCAGCCACAGCTCCTCTGGGGAATCCATTCCAGGGCCTCCTCACCCTCACAGGGAGGAATTTCGTCCCAATATGCCACTTAATTCTCTCCTTTCCCCAGTGGGAAGCCATTCCAAAGGATCAAAACCCACAGAATCTTAACCCCAGGAACCTTCACCCACACATTCTCCAACCCCACAGAATCTTTTACCCCAAGGATGGAATCCCACGGAATCTCCAGTCTCAGGAAATCTCCCCCCCCCAGGAACCTCCAATCCAATCCTCCCCTGCCCCGTTTCCCACCCCCAGACAACCCCCCCAGGACCCTCAGTCCTGCTCCAACACGTGGGATCCACTCCCTCCTTCCATCCTACCCCCCTCCCGGGGGATGGATGATCCCGTGATCCCCTGTGCTCCCGGATTTTCCAGGCAGATCCCAATCCCCATATTTACACATCAGGGGATTTCACCGGAGCCTCTTCCACCTTCACGGGCGGCTCCGCCGGCTTCGGCTCTTCCTCCTGGGAACCAACGTGGAGAGTCCGTAAGAAACATCCCAGTCACCTTTTCTGGGGGGTTTCCAAGGCACAAACCCCTGTTCAGCCCAAACATTCCCAGGAATTCACGAGTTCTGTGTCCAGTGGCCCCTCAGGCTTCGCTACAGGGGGGGTTGGAAACTCTCCCTGTGCTTTTCCAAAGCCCCATAATCCCTTCCCAAAAGGTCTGGGCTGCACAAGGGGCTGGGGATGACCTGAGGGTGACATTCCCAGCCCAGCATGGAGTGGGGATGGCCAGGAAAGTGGGAATGACCAGGAGCAGCTCCAGCAGCACCCAACCTGCTTCTCACCAAATATTTCATGGGTAAACAGGGAAAAATCCTCCTTATCCTGCACTTGATGAGCAGGAAGGAGCCTGACAGTGGAAAGAGTCACTTCCTGAGAGTGTTTTAGGCTGGATTTTTTTTCAGGCTGGACTTCCTGGCCCTGGTAGGAACAGGGCTCAATCCCACAGGATCCATGGGCACCAACTGGGAGACTCTTCCCTAAATATCCTTAAACCCCCCAGGTGTGAATCCTGCTGGGCATGGAGGGAACAACCCTATTCCGAGGGATCCCAAAAACTGGGATCTCATTAGTGATGGGATCCCCCATCCCACCCTCTGGAGAATCCCAGCTGGCAAACCAGGACCCCCTGGGATCATCCCAACCAAAAACACAACCCACCTCTATCTCCTCTCCCAGCACGTCCTCCTCGTTGGCTTCTTCTTCAGCTGGAGGACAAAACAACGGAGCCATTGGAGCAGCAAAACACCCCAAGGAACCTCTGGATTCCCAGAGAACACAGGAATCCAGGCGAGAATTCCGGGGGATTCGGGAAGGGCCCGCAGCACCCACCATGCTCCTCCAGGTAGGCCTGGAGCCGGTTGATGAGGTCCTGCTTGTTGCCTTTGGCCTCCAGCCCTCTGGCCAGGCATTCCTGCTTCAGCTCTGCCAGCTGCGGTGGGAAAAGCTTCCGTCAGTTGGGAAGTACAGGGATTGAATGCAGGCATCAAAGGGGAATTGAAGGATGGAAAGGAACTGGGATGATTTGCTCCAGGGGGAATGTCCCAGGGGAACGTCCCCGGGACCCTCCCAGGGAATCGCTTTGGGACCTTCCTGGGGACCCTCCCGGGAGAATCCATTGGGGGAACCAACCAAGGGAACCCCCGGGGACCCTCCTGGGGGACCCTCCCGGGAGCCATCGCTGGGTCCCTCCTGGAGGAACCTCCCAGAGGAATCAACCGGGGGAACTTCTTGGGGACCCTCCCAGGGGAACCTCCTGAAAAACCCACTGGGGGAACCTCCCTAGGACTCCTTTGGGGAAACCAACTGGGGAACTCTCCCCAGGACCCCTCCCCAGTAATCCCCGCCCCAGGTACCCCGTCCCCGGTATTCCCCCCCGGGCCTCTCCCACGCGGCTTCGCACCCACGCGGGGCCTCAGGGAGCCCCGACTTCAGGGGTCCCGGCCCCCGGAGGGGTCTCATCCCCGGGGGAGGGGGTCTGGCCGGCCCCCCCGCGGCGGCCGCGGGCGCTGCCCCCCCGGTTCCTCCTCTCAGCCCGCCCCAGTCGCGGTCCCCGCGGCACCTTCAGCTTGTGCAGCTCCACCGGCTCCGCCGCCATCTTGTCACCGACGCGCCGGGCCCGCCCCCGCCGGCCAATCAGCGCCAAACGCGCCCGAAGGACCCGGCAAAAGCACCGCCCGCCATTGGTCAGTTCCGCCCGGTGCCGCCTTCGTGTTATTGGTCGGTGGTGTTGAGTGACGTGGAGACGGACCAATGGGAGCGCGTCATTGCCGGAAGTTCGGTATTGTTATTAATTATTCGCTATTAATTTGTTAATTATGGGATCATTGACCATCAACATCCCTGGCCCTCACACTCTCTCCCTTCCCCCACGTATCTGCCAGTCCAGCACCTAAATGACCATTAAATTGGCCCCTGGATTACTGGGGGTCGTGTGAGTCCCAAAACAGCTCCTGGTTCCTTGGGGGGCTGGCTGAGCTTTTTTAACCCTCCCAACCTGCAGCTCCTTGGCCACATCCCCCTCCCCCCCTTTTTTAAAACAACTCCCCCATGTT